ACTGAGATTTTATAAAACTCCTTTTTTGCGTTTACATGTGGACGAGGAATACAGAGTTTCACAGTGTATGTGCCTTTTTTCACGTCACGCTGTGCGCCACGTTATTGTTTACATGAGATGAATTGCAGAATGGCAGATAGAGACAAAATACTGTTACTGTTAATCTGACTATCTTCAGGTTTTAAAGTGTGGGCGGGCCCCACACTTTGGGAAGGTCTGGTTTAGTTTAACTGTTGCTAGCTTGATTGGCAACTTGTAAGACATGTGCTATTTATCCAATCTGTGGTCTACAGTGACCCCTTGTGGACATGTGTTGAGTAGATGATGTGTTGTGATTGTTTTCCTAGTTATCTATGACTCTACTAACTATAGAATTGAATGTTTTCCAGAAAACCATGCTCATAGTCACACACACTGTATACTAACAGGAATAAGTTCAAGTATGGCTGCACTGAATTTGTATTAAGCCTAGCAAGCACTCTGATGGAAACAATTATTCTGTGGAACTTAATCAAAGACAGTCAACCCAACTCCTGGACTGCTGCAGACTTGTATACCCAGCTTTCCAATATATATATTTTATAGTACCACTATCACTCCACTAGAACACTTCACTCTCAGTTCTTTCCTATAATATTAAGTGCATTAAGACAACTGCTGGTAGCCAGATGCCCATCTCAGCCAAATTAATCGAGAAACCAGCGCCTCCTCCTAACCATTAAATCAACAAACAATGCAAGAGGTAGAAAGCGAGAGAGATAGAGAGAGAAACACTCTTCTACTGCCTCTTGTCCCACAAACAGTTGTACATTACTGCCAACTTCTGTACAAACAGTCAGTATTTTTCACATAAGAGGAACCTAAATATCAGTCACTGAGCAGCTGTACACTATTTTACATATACCCAAAGAGGACACAGTGTGCCCAGACATGTGCACAGGGTGGTTTTGACATGTTTTTGAAAATGTATATCTGGCTCTGAAAAGAAATTTGACAATAGAATACTAGGTGAACAAATTCACCCCTAATTACCTTCATATTAGCACGTGTATCAGTATCAGAGTGCACACATCTGGCCTAAGCACATATAGCCATATAAATGTCACCATACTATGTACATCACATTATTTTCTGGGCTTCATGTATAATAACATATTATACCTAACGACTAGAACTAAACTATTTTATTGAATGATTGTACAATAGTCTTTTATCATGCCACTTTTAGATCAACACCATTTTTTGATTTGCCTCTTTAATAAAGCTGATGTCAAGGTTATGGTGAATAAGGACCCAAATCCAGAATCACTCAGACTCACGCACATCTAGGAATCAAATAAGAATAAACTTTTATCAAAAGGCAGATGAAAACTAAATCCAAGACAACAGAAGACATCCCAGGGATAACAACAGGAAACATCTGTGGGCAACAATATGATGTGGCAATAAATAGAACTGAAGTTATAAATTCACACAACTCAGAGGAAGTGAACACAGCTAGGGGAAGTAAAACTGAATGTCAAATGCAAACACTTAATGAGAACACAACACAGATACAAAGGCTACACAAGACACATGCGAAAAACAGGACTTTTAACTTTAAAACCTAAAGACAAAACTGAGAGTATCATCAGTTACCACTAATCCATGAAAATAATGAAAAACTTGAAACACTGGGGCCAAAATACTCAAGACACACAAGATCAAAGAAAGACAATGATAAAACAATCAGCACCTACAACTAGAGGCAAATACAATGGAAACACACATGAAAATCTAAACAATAAGCAACGTCCAAAAACACTTTTGCCCACTTTTTCTTAAACTAAAGGCAAAGAAGTTAGAAATAGGAGATAAGATGGGAAGTACTTTTGGAAAGCAGCCCCAGTCTGTCTCCTTGTCCTCTGATCAGTGTCTCTGTTGGAAGTCAGTTGTTTCTGTCTGAGCTCTATACTGCAAAGGAGGTCCAGTGTACCCAGGATATGTTTCTGTCATCTAGATTCACTTACCCTAACATTGGCGAATGGGATAAACTGTCACATGAAGCTGGTTCTCAACTGGCTAAGTTATATGAGGGTTTCCCCTGTGCGTTCACATGACCAATGCCAAAGGGGCGTTTCACAGATCATATGACTCTTCTTCCACAGAAAATGATCCCTGTGAGTGCCACCTACTCCAGAGATGCTAGCAAATAAAAATCTCTAAAAATCATACAAAATATATCAGTAAAATCCAACACTGTTGTGAAAAAAACAAGAAAAATCTGGTGATTTAGTGCAAACAATAAGCATTTTCATTCCAGTTAATTATTTGCAACATTGAAGTTTACTCTCCTTACAGGAATCCTTGGTGTGTTTCGTGTTTCCAGCAGTGTAAAACAGATTAATTAATAGATTAGAGTGAAGTATGACAACATTTAGACATTTTCTCACAGTCCATTCTCTGCTCGCCGTACACGCGTCACACGACACTTTACATCAACCCTATTTTCCCATACTGTCAAACTGAATTCTGTCATTAAACCTTTTCCTACCCATCATCTGTCAGCCAGTCAGCCTTTGTTCCATATGCTTTAAATCAGCGGTCCCCAACCCCCGGGCCACAGACCAGTACCGGGCCGCGAGAGTTGAGACTTGGGTGTGAAAGTTATGGTTTTCAGGGTTATTTTTGTTTTTTATCTTTTTTTTTTATTGTTTTTACCATTACCTCGGTTTCCCTGGGTCTTTTCCCGTGTGTTATGAATAAATATTCGTTTTTTGGTACTGGTACCGGTTTTATTTTGTTGTATTTATCCGCGACACTTTAAAGGCTGGTCCGTGAAAATATTGTCGGACATAAACCGGTCCGTGGTGCAAAAAAAGGTTGGGGAGCGTTGCTTTAATTCTTAGTGCTCTTCTATCTTTTTGCCTTTCATGTCACTTCCTGTCT